CTCCGATTTTGCAATCGGTTGTGCTTTACTACAAGCAGACGCCGAAGGGCGTGAACGCGTGATCGCGTTTGAGTCTCGCCAGCTCAAAGCTGCAGAGAAGAACTACCCGGTTTATGACAAAGAGCTACTTGCAATGAAGTACGCTCTAGTCAAGTTCAGAGTACATGTGCTTGGCTCTAAGCCTTTTGAGATCTATACGGATCACGATTCGCTATGCACAGGGACTCAGCCGCCACATCTCTCTCAGAGAATGGCAAGATGGCTTTTTCTTTGCCGAGTATAACTTCGAGGTGAAGTACAAGCCGGGGCGGTTTAATGTAGTGGCTGACGCGCTGCCGCGCAGGCCGGACTATGGGTTAGCTCATGTCATAACTGTGACGTCGTCAGTGCCTGACTTAATACGCACAGCGTATGCAAAAGACGACATGTATGTAGCTTTGATACGTACTCTAGGGAGCGGTGGGTTTAAAAACTCTAACAAAGGAATTGTCTGGGCGCTTACGCGCGAGGCTGCATCGATATAACCTCGATGGCGGCCTACTGTACTACAGTACTGACCCTGAGGACACTCCTCGTGTGGTCGTTCCTCATGATGAGAGCATCAAGTATCGTAGCCTCTTTGAGGTACATGATACGCCCGTTGGTGGGCATCTAGGTCGTGAGAAGACCTATGGCTCCGTGAGCTCGACATACTGGTGGCCCAAGGTGTACAAATGGGTTGGCATTTATGTGCGCACGGATGGGACATGCCAACGAACGAACTCCACGCCAAATACAGCGGCGGCGTTGGCGAGTTTGCCGGTCTCCATTGGATGTTGGCAGTCCATCAGTATGAACTTTGTGTTTGGCCTTCCAAGAGACACGGCGGGAAACACTGGTATCGTTGTCATTGTAGACCAGTTGAGCAAGATGGCTCGCTTAGCGGCAGTGCCGGACACTATCGATGGTGAGGGTACAGCTTTGCTGTTTCTAGACAGAGTCTTTCGCCAACATGTCGTGCCTGAGGCAGTTGTCTCGGATCGAGAGCCACGAAGTTCTGGACGTCCTTGTTTAAGGCGCTTAGCAACAGTACCGACATGTCCATTGCAGACCGATGTTCAAACTGAGCGCGTCAACCGCGTTGAGGAGGATATCCTCCGAAGCGTACGCGCTGAAGCGCCGAAACGTTGAACCAAAATGTAAAACTGGTTGAGTTTGCATTGAATAATGCAGTAGAGACCTCTACAGGCTTTACTCCTTTCAACGTGAACGGCCTTGTGAATCCCCACGCCCCGCTAGAACTGCCACGTGGTGGCTCAGGGCTTGAAGGGTACGGAATAGCCGAGAGGCTTGCTGATGCCAGCCCTATTCCGGTACCCAAGCAAGTTGATGACTTCGTCTCGCTGGGACTTAGCGTTATGCGCCAGGTGCGCGACGCTATAGCTGAGAGCCAAGACCTACAAAAGGTGCATGCGGTTGCTCGGAGCAGAGAGAATAGAAAGGTTTGAGGTCGGAGACCTCGTTTTATTCAATGCAAAAAAAAACTACCTACACACGCAATGTCGCCGTCTTCAAGACAAAACTAAGACCTAGGTTCATTGAACCGTTCAAGGTCGTGGCCAGGAAGGGCCTATCGTACACGCTTAATCTTCCGAAGAAGATGCGCACCCACCCAGTGTTTTATGTGGGCTTAATCCAGCCACATCTTGGCCCTGCTCGGGTGAGCGTAGCGTCGCTGGTGCCAACTCGGACAGCAGCTGCGCGTCAGCGAGTTGCTGGGTGACGGCAGGTGCCTGTGAGGCCGTGGGTGTATGAGCCACAGCAGGAGCCTGTGGGGAGCAGGTGGCAAGGTCACAGCAGGCTGAGGAACAGCAAACGGGAGAGCCACGCCAGGTTGAAGAACAGCAAGTGGCAGAGCCACAAGACGATAACCGAGCTGACGAAGACGCAG